GGCAGGGCGGCCCGGCGAAAAAGCCCACCACATCCCTGGTGCTGCGCAGCGCGCGCAGCTCGGCGGCCAGGCCGCCGCGGGTTAGGTCATGCCTCTCGTCGGGCGCCAGGTCGTAGGCCGGCGCCTTCACCGCCGGCCCATCGGCCTGCGCCTCCTGCTCCACGGCGTCGCACAGGTGCCCCTGGCGCCTCGGCGCGGCTGCCCCGGCCCAACAGTGTTGGGGGGCAACCTCCAGGCGCGGCAGCGGCTGCGGCGGCTTCCGCGACTCTCGGCCTGCGCGAACGTCATGCCAGCTGCTGGGCTCGTCCGCGGAGCTCTTCTCGGTGGAGAACCAGACATGGAAGTGGGAGAAGCCGCCCGCCAGCTCGATGGCCGCCCCACGGCGGCAGCGTCGGTTCATCTTGCGTCTGGCGCTGCGGCCGTTGATGAAAGCGCCCTCGCTCTGCGCGTTGCCGCCGGCATGGGGCACTCGGCAGCCCAGCTCTGACGGCCCGTGGAGGCGGGCCTCCATGCCCCAGAGCTTCGCGCGGGTCTCCTCCAAAATGATGTGCTCCATGCCGCCGGGGCGCCCGACCTTGAACCGGCGCGGAATAGGTGGGGGCGTCGCCCTGGCGCGCGCGCAGCGGCCCTCGAGGTCAACGTCGATGCCGAAGCCGTCGTCCAGCCTCGTGTAGGGGGCCCTGTGGTCGGCCCACTGTGCAATGTGCCGCGCCGCCTCCACTGGCAGCGCCGCGCAGGCCCTGCCGCGGCCACCCGGCGCCGCATAAGTGCACTCCGCGCGGGGGCACCACTCGGCGTCCAAGTCCTGATCGGCGAAGGGCAACAAGATGGCGGACACCGGCAGCTCGTGCCAGGCCATCGGGCACCGAGCAGACGGGCGACGGCCCCTCTACGGCAGCGTCATCATTCAGGCGTAGACGCGCGAGAGCGTGGAGCGCAGGCAAGGGCGGTAGCTCTGGCAGTAGCCGTGCTTCCCGACCAAGCGCTGCCCACATCCTCGGGGCGCGCCATCTGCTGCCCGAGCAGGGCGAGCGCGGGCGCGAGCAGGCCGAGGTGGCGACGACAGGTAGTGCCCGCCCAGTGCTGAGTGGAGTGGACTTCTGTCCCCTGGAATTCGCCCTGGCCGCCGTCGACGGACTTCCCGCGGCGTGCAGGGATGCCCATGCGGCCCCAAGCCTGCTCGGCCTTCGTCATCCAGAAAATTGCCGAGCTGCGCGCGCGGCCCCCGGCCGAGCGCTCGTCCAGCGCCCACAAGTCGTCAACGATGGAACTCCGCAGCGGCAGCTCGGAGGGGCAAGGCCTGTCGAACGTCGCCCCGCGGCCCTGCGGCAGCCCAGCTTTCAGGGGCGCCGTGTCCGAAGCCGCCTGAACCCAGCCCGCCGACGGCGCGAAGCCCGTCGGCGTGGCGCGGCGGAAGGGGTAAACGTCAGGCCCCCCCCCCGCGGGTCGGGCACGGGCGGTTGCGCCGCGTGCTTGTGAAAGCGCTTGCCGATGGCCAGCTGGTGGAAGTAGCGCCGCTCGTCGCGCTTCCAGGGCTTCACCTCGGTGCCAGGCAGTGCCTTCGCCACGCGCGGCCTCGGCGGGTAGGCGAAGGCGGGCCGCGGCAGCGAGGCGGGGTCGAGCAGCTGGTTCACGGGAAGGTCCGAGATCACCCGCCACTCCGCGTCTGACTTCTTCACCCCGAAAGCTCCAGCCACCAGCGGGGCCCCGCGGTGCTCGCGCGCTCTCCTCTTAGACCCGTCGGCCTGCAGCGCCGCCTTCGCGTCGCGCTCTACCAGGCGAGGCTGGGTAGACTCTATGAGTGCATGTGGTCAGGGCGCTCAGGGCTGCTAAAGGGCAGCGGCTGAGGGCTGCTAAAGGGCAGCGGCTGAGGGCGACGAACCTGGTCTGCAAGCCCAGGAAAGTGTGCGTCGAAAAACCCGGCCAAATCAACTGCGGCCGCGTGGCCAGGCACTCCTCCGCGTTCGCCGAGGGGCTCCGCGACGCACTTCATCGGCTCGGAGCCGTCGGAGTGGCGCAGGAACTCCTGCATTGCCGATGCCCCAGGCCAAGCCAGCCCAGCCTCAAGGAATCGAGAAGCGCCCAACAGCATGCGCCCTCGCGCGCGTCTCTGGGCCTGCGTCGGCACCTGGTGGTAGTCGCGGACCGCGCCGTACAAGTCGCACACGGCCGTGATGCACAGGTTGCCCCAAACCAAAACTGCGCCCCGCTGGCCACGCCCGGACTATGCGAGCTCGGCGTCACCACGCCGCACAAACGGGACACGGGAAATCACTGGCGACGGCGCGCCGATCTCCACCAACCGCGGGCGCCCGATGTGTCCTCGGCGGAGCGGCGCCCCCAATGGGCCGCCTGCGAAGCTGAGCCAGTCGCCATGACCGACCACCACGAGGGAGTACTCTTGGCCTCCTCGGCACAGCCACCTCTGCCGCACCCTCTTCCACCTCGTCGCCCTGAGCTTGAGGGGCCCGCCAGCAGCGACCCCTCCGCCCGCCCTCGCGATCAGCTCCGCGGCCTCCGCCTTTTCCCGCGACCCGCCCTTGCACGTGCGTCGCCCTCTGGATCGCGATGATGCGCTGCGCCAGCACGTCCATCGCCGTGGCCAGGTCCTGGGCGTCGATGAGGTTCATCACCAGCACTAACGTCTGCACCTCCTTCTGGTACCGCAGCCCCGTGACTCCCGAGCGCGCCTGCGCTTGAGTCGTCGCCGATGCCGGGCGCGGCAGCTTCGTCTCGCGCAGGCGGCCGCGGCTGAGCTCGCGGTGCACCGTCGCCAGGAAGTAGGCCGAGAGCGCCCCAGGATGCTTCGCCGCGAACGCCAGCAAGTCGCCCTTCGCCTTGAACTTCTCCGTCTCCAACTTGCGCTCCTGCGCGGGGTCCACGCGGCGGTTCTTCGCGCGCGGACCCCTCCACGGCAGGTGGCCGCTGTCGGAGCTGGACGTGCTTCGGCTGCTGCTGCTGGAGGGCCCACTCGAACTGTCGCTTATTAGTATTAGTATTATTATGATTATTATTTTTATCATTATTATTACTCGTATTATTATGCTTGTCGGCACTCTTCTTGTTCTTCTTATTATTGTCGCGGGGCCCGCGCGAATGACCGCCGCTCTGCAACTGCGACTGGATCGCCCGCACCTCCTGCAACGTCGTCGCCAGGTCCAGGGCTGGCGCTGCTCCTGCGCCCGCGCCGTCGGGCGCGCCCGCCGCTGCGGGGCCCGGCCCCGCGGCCGCCGCGGGCGCCGCCGCGGCCGCGCCGAGCGCCGCGGCCGCCGCGCCTGGGAGCGCCGCCCCCGCCACCAGCATGAACGCGGAGAGCCCTGGCAAGCCGGCTCCCGCGCCCGTCGCCACGTCCGCAGGCGCGGCCGTGTCTCCGAGGCCAGCGCCCACGCCCTGGGCCTCCAACCGTAGCGCGGCGTCTCCACCGCCGAGGGATCCCACCGGGTCGCGGCGCGCGGAAGCACGCGCGCCCTATTGACTGAGGGCTGCGCGATGCCGAACGGCGGCATCCGAGCAGCTCCGCCGCCGCGCACCACCGCGGCGCGGAAGTGCCAAGGCAGCAAGCGCACGAGCACCCAGACAAAGCTCGCGCCCGTGTCGTCGGTGTTCGACGCCAGGCTGTAGTCCTTCCCCTGCACCTGGCCGAACACGAGCACCCCGCCCCGCTCGCCTCCGCGCGAAAACAGGACCGCGGCGACGCCAACCGCAATTTCCACCGAGGCGTTCTCCAGTGCGGTCGACGCGGCTGCGAGCTCGCGACGGCGAGCGCGCTCGCCCGCCGAGCCCCCCCGGCACCACCGCGGGCGCTGAACCCCAGCGCAGCAGGCCCTCCAGGCGCCTCCAGCCAGCCCGCGGCACGCCGACCAGCAAGCGAGGTTGCCCCGCGCCGCCCGCCCGCGATGCCCCCAGGCGAGGGCAGCCAAGGAACTAGCCGAGCTGTGCAGCCCGCGCCAGCCCCAGGCCCAGGCCGCCTCCGCGCCGCTCGCGACTGCCGCGAGCCCGCGCGAAGCAGCAACCCCGACGGCGCGAAACGCCTCGGGGGTGAGGTGGACAGCCCGCCACAACGCCGCCTGGCCCCAGAGCGCAGCCGCCGCGGACACCAGGAGGGTCGATCGCGCGCAGATCGCTAGCTCGGTGCCGCCCGCCGCGGTGCCGACACCGATCGCCGCCAGGCGATCTTGAGCCAAACTCAGATTTCCTGTTGCTCAAGGGTCAAAACGCGCCAATATGTAACAACAAGACATTCCGATAACCATCTAGCAAACTCTGCCTATGTGCTCACGCATCCAACTCGCACGCCCTGGCAGACTGCGCTCATCTAGTTCATGTAATTAACTCCGTAGCCGGGGGGGTGCGTCTTATTGATTCAGCATTGGCAATTCGGCGTGCCTTATTTCATCGCCCATTAAGGTACATCGCTTGAAATAAACCCCGTATGTGTACAACTAACTGACTTGGCAATTCTTGAGCTCGTGGAATGTAGCGAGTATTGGGTTACGCTCGTCCGCGTTGTGAACTGATCCCGGATAATTGTACGGGGCCGAGGCTGGGGGCAAGTAGCGGACATGAAAAAGACAGGTCCGACGCAATTGTGCCCAGACTATGTACCGACTTGTCCGCCCAGGCTGTAATGTCGGGGCCGCAGTCAGTCCAACCGAAGCCACACTGAGGAAGTCCTGGGTTCCCAATCCTCACTTCTCCATTAAACCCTATCACCAAAACTCGGATCTCAATTGCATGGGCCCGCCCAAGACGCGCAATTTTTACTCGGCAGTGCCGGCGGCGAGGGTCGAGACCGGCAGGGCGCTCTTGGAGTGGGTGGACAAGCGGAGAGCGGCCGCGGAGGGAGGAGACCCGACCAACGAGAGCCGACGGGTGAGGGACGCGCATGCGACTTCAGGCGCCGAATACGATGTGCACCAACTTGCGGAGCAGCGAAAGGACCGAACAGTCGAAGGACGAAACACATGCGAAGGTGCACGCCTTCGTGCCGCCTTTATCACTGAGCGCGCGGTTGCTGAAGGTCGCACCATGACATGGGACCGAAGAACACGGAGGGACCTGCCTGCGCCACGAACGCACGTAGCCGAACTATGCGCTTGGAGCCCCAGCCCTACTGGAAGGAGTCAAACTGAAGAACATCGAGAGCGCCCTTCCCCAGGCTGAACACGAACATGGAAACAACATGCCGATCATCCTTAAGGTACCCTTCTCGAGCCAAGTCTGTTCTTACACCTCTCTCCGACACCACATCCACTTCGTATTTTCAGGAGCTCGCATGATCTGGACAATCCCGTACCAACTTGAAGTGGCATGCGCACCGAACGCCGGAGCGTACCATCATCTTCGCGCATGCCCGCGCCCTCACAGCCCCAACGGCCTGCGCACCCTTCGCCGGGACTGCGACCACTGGCCCAGCCTGAGGCGTCGCGTCGCTCGCGGAGCTGGAGTCGTCGCCAGAGTCGTCGGAGTCGTCATTGGAACCGTCGTCACTGGACCCGTCCGAGCTCGGCGCGCCCCGCGCCGCGGCCGCCCTGGAGCCAGTGGCGGCCGCGGACGTTGCGGCACCGTGTGGCTCCGGCGCGAACTCCGAGCACCGCACGGCCGGGTCCTTGTTGTAGCCCTGGCACGGGTGATCGTTCGTGGGAGCCCGGCCGACCGTTCCCTCTCCTCCTGCTGCTCCTGGTCCTGCCCCTCCCCATCCTCATCTGAAATCGCCGGCGATGCAACAAGGGTTCTGTTCGGATGTCGTATGGTCAATGGAGTTTAGACTCGTGGGACCCAAGCGGGATCCTCGGAAGAACGAAGGATCGAAAAGGGGCTCAAAACAAAACCCGCGACACCTGCTCCCTGTCGTCGTACACGTGCCAGTACTGGTCTGGCCCCGCTTCCGCCGGAGAGCTGGCCCCGGCCAGCTTCAGGTAGGCGAACCCGCTCTTATCGCCCCCCAGCTTGCTGTCGACCTTCCACCGGGACCTCTCGCCCCAGTAGTACAGAAACCGCGGCGCGGACCCGGCGGCGACCACCTTCTCGTAGGCGCGGTGGCCGCCGAAGTCCTCCGCGCAGCGGGCGTACACCCCGTTGATGGACGCGTTCTTCCTCTTGGCCGCCCGGCCCTCCAGCAGCAGCGAACCCTCCAGGCGGCCCTGCGGGGGAGCCGCGCACACACGCACTAAGGTACGCGGGCCTTCGCCCGAAACACGACGCATGCACTTCCTGGAACGCCTCACGCTCGCGAGCCTGCTCCGAACACGTAGTGCCCACTGTGCTGTGCGCGCGGTGGCGGCTGCGGACACAACATCGTGCTCGGGTTCCTGCCCCCGACCTGCGCCTGCAGCTCCCGCCTGGCCGCCTCCCGCGCGCCCGAGCCCGACGGGTGCCGCGGCCTCTTCGCGCCGGCGCCCCCGGCCGGGGCCGGGGCGCCCCTGCGCTTGGCCGCCCCACCGTGCGCGGGCGCCCCGCTTGGCACCTGCAAGGCCTCGTACTGGGCCTTCCTGAAGGCGTCCACCTCGTGCCACCGCGGGCGGGAGCGCTCCCCCATCTTGACTCGTCGTCTCCCCGCTGGGGTTCCAAGCGAACACGGATCGGGGGGGCCACTCCCCAGAGCACGAGGCCGGCGACGCCCGATTTGGCGACGGAGCGCGCCTTTTCTGCACGGAAGCGTGGCACGCCCCCTCCCCCCAGCTCTGCTGGCACCTCCCTCCCTGCCTTCCTCCCTTTCCTCTGCTTGGTCGGCTGCTGCACCGTCGGAGCCCCCATCCCATCTCGGCTGGGAGCCTGGGGCGAAACTTTCGCGCCTCCGGGCGCCCACCTCCTCCCGGCTGGCTCCCTCCGCGAACCTGACGTAGCAGAGCCGGGCGATGCGGTGCGCCTCCGCCACGGGGTCCGCACTGCCCGCGCAGGCGCCCACCGTGGTCTGGAAGCGCAGCCGGCCGCCGTCTGGGCGGCGCACCCCCAGCGAGCCCAGGCTCAGCAAGACGGCTCCCCCGCTGGGATAGTAGATGATCTTGCTCCACGCCTCGTGGCCCGCGGGCGCGTCCTCGGAGGCCGCGGAGCGGGCGCGCGGCCGCGGAGCGGGGCTCCTCCGCTTCGCCCTTCCCTTCACCCTCCTCTGGCCTCCTGTCCTCCCCCCCTCCGCCTCGCTGCCCGCCCTTCAGCCCTTCGCCGTTGTTCTCCCCCCCCTCGGGCGCACGCAAACATGGATGACGGACCCGTGGGTCTGGCGCCTGGGCGCCCGACCCACGCATCGGGGAACGCAAGCCCCTGAAACGCGGCGCCAATGCCGCCTGATTTGGCGACGGAGCGCGCCGATTATCAAGACGAAGCGAGGACGAGGATAACATCGGATACGGATAAATCGATAATCTCTGAGATCCCGCGGATCTGGGAGGTGTCTCGGGCGCCGCGGCCTTCTCAGAGCGTTCCGGGACAGTCTGAGAGCGGTCCAGAACGAAATGGAACGGATGCAGCCTCGTCCTGGCCCCGCCCGAAATGCCGCCTGATTTGGCGACGGGGCACGCCGATTTTGCACGCGGGCGGGACCGGTCGCTAATCCATGCGTCCTGATCCATGTTTGCGTTTCCTGGGCCCCCACTGCCTCTCGTCCTGCACTCGCTCGCCCCTCGGCTCCCGTCCCCCGCCACTGCCCCCTGGCCCGCCCCTCTCGTCCTGCACTCCCTCCGCGCCTCTCCCGCAGGGGGGGGTCTCTGGCTTAGGGGGGCGGCGCGGTGACATCCAGCGCCGAGACCCAGCGGCTGACGCCGAAAGAGGAAGGATGAGGACGAGGACGACTCGCCATCGCTGGGACGTCCGCTCCCCGTGCATGCTTCGACTTCGTGGGTGCTTTCAGCGCAACATGATCCAAGAGGCTCCTCGAAGGTCTCCGCCGAGAAAAATGCACAGGTCTGAACGATGCCAAGACGACGGGTGACGGCTCCGACGTTGGCGTCAAACATAGTTTGCGCGGACAAGCTCGTTCCGCTCTTGTGCGCTTCCGTCGTGGTCCTACAATGCCGAACCAAAATCAACCCATCATTTCCACACGCGGTCGGTGGGATCATAAAATTCCCAATCGCCTTTTGAATTCGAAAACGCTGAACAACTTTGCCTGTGAATCAAGCTCGTTTGCGTGGGTTGTGAAAACCCTTTGCCCTCCCTCGAAGAAATGCGCCGGGCACGTCGGTGCAATATTACTGATATCTTCGGCGTCCTTTTGTTTAGACTACCCTTGCAACCTTCTCCCTTCAAGTATATGATACTTTTACATTGGCTGGTCTGCGTATTGTTTGTACCATCTTCGTCGATAACCCGTTTCAATGTGAAACATATAGTGGGATCTGGAAACATCTTGGCTCAGAGCGCCGAAGGCCACTGGCCGAAGGGCATGCGGTGCCCTGGAACGTCTACAGGGCGCGGAATGCGCTGCTAATAAGCTTGTCTGGGGCCGACCAGCTGGAAGCTTGGGCCGCGCGGCATACCTAATTACTGGGTGGCGTGGGCTGCCGAAGAGACCCAAGGCTCCAATCCTGATGCCAATGAAACCGGGCGCCCCCGCACCTGGCGGCAACTTTACCGCGCGAGAACCCACGTTGTCCCTCCGCGTCGAAGGGGGGCGGCTTTGCGGAAAGGGCCAACTTTGCAATGTTGTGTCGATACCACGACTGCCAGGGCGCCACCTGGACTGCTTTGCAAGGAGCAGCGTCGTTGGCGCTCTCACGGGCCCCCCAACAATACTTTCCCAATGTGGGCCTGCTGTTCCACAGCGCTGTTTCTTACGTTGTATGCAATCACTACCCTGCCCGGAACTGGAGCTGCTGGGAACTCAGTCGGGGCGGGCGACAGGGATTTCGACATGAAAACCCACCCAACGCGGACTCCAAATGGACTTGGCGTCGCCCGGAGCCGCGCAAGAACCAACGTCGAAACCATTGCCTGGCGTTTCCGGGTCGTCGCGGGGATCGCGCCGGGCGTGTGCCGGAACACCGCTCCGGATGCCTGATAGCGGCGCGTCGGGCATGCTTCCGTTGGGCGTCCTTTGCCTTTGCGGTCCTCTGAAAACGCATTTCGGGTCGAAACAATTTCTCTGGTAGTATCTCAATACTGGTTTAACTGCAATGCGCGCCGCAATGTGAACGTTTTGCTTCTGTGCGGGACGCGCGTGCTTTCCCATGTCTCCCTGGTGTGCACAGCTAGTGGCGCCGTCGTTCAAACACTCGGATTGTGACACATGTGCTCCATGTCATGGCCATGCTCGCCGCGACCACGCGAACATACCTCAAATACCATTATTCGGGCGATACGGAAGTTGTGGAGGGAGGGTGGGTTGGGCGCATATTTCGGTGCGATTGGCGTCCAATCGACGTCGCAACATGTCGTCCTCCTTATCGACCGATATCACTATCTATCGATCGAACTCGCTGTCTGCGTATTGGTATTTTCAACCTATTTACCGCTACTGCCAATCATCTATACATATACGTACGTGTATACACGTATACCTGTATACATACATCATTGCTACGAATATGCATATTGCATGGAAGACGCCCCCAAATGACCTCCCCAGAAAATACCAACATCCTTGGTTTCCTTTCGGACGACCTCCCCCGCCTCCCCGGCCAGCCGCCTGCACGCTTCTGGACACGGCAAAGGCCCCAGAAGCCTCGCAACGACTCCCACGACAGACCATGGAAACCCGAAACAAAACACAAGAAAACAAAACAAGCCTGTTCCAAAGGGTTTCGGGTGGCACAAATCATGCGTTTCCAGAATTTCGACGTTTCCATCGTATGGGGTTTCTCGCATCTCAAGATTCGCATGCCCGAATCAGCACGAGATGTTCCCAAGATAACGCCAAGACGACCGAACGGGTCCCCCAAAAGGCCCCAGGCCCGAGTGAGCTCCAAAACGGTCCAAGAGGCGCCCACGACTGCCGAGAAGGGCCCTCAGGAGGCCCACGGACGGGGAACGCGAACGAACAATTCGACCCGTCCGCCCCACAAACCGCCCAGGATGCGCCAAGAAAACCAAGAGAGGCACCCCCAAAGGGCCCAAGACGGCCCCAAATCTGTCCACAAAAGGCCCCAGGACATCCCAGCTCAGGTCCACAGGGCTCGTGGACGATGGAGAACGAATGACGTCACATGCGACGGCGTTCCTCAACACCCTCCTCCTCCGCCTCATCCTCCCCCTTTTCCTCCCGCTCCTCCTCTCCCTCCTCCTCCTTTTCCTCCTCCTCCTCCTCCTCCTCCTCCTCCTCCATGTCCTCGTCCTCTTCCTCCTCCTCCTCCTCCTCCTCCTCGCTCGCCGGCTCGCTGCCTAAGGACGTCTGGTTCCACTCCCGATCCTAGCTGGGGGGATCCAAAGAGAAAGGGAGGCGGGCAAAAAATGCAGTGCACGGGGAGGGCAGGACTTTAGGGGTCGACGACGCATTTCCGCCACCGACGGTCGACGTCTGAATGCATAAATCGGCGATCGGTAGAAAGACGGTCTGCGCGCGCGGCATCCCTCGCCAAGACCCACCTCCCTCGCGATCATCACCCCCTCTTCCTCCGCACAGCGCTGCCCGCTGGCTACAGGAGCGAAGGGAGCAAGCAAACTGGAAGTGCTCTTCCAAACAACGAGCCCATCACAAACTCATATATACTCGAACTGCCCATTCCTGCGAGGTTCGGGGATGCAACCCTGGGATGTTCAAGAACGCGTGTGTTCTTCTTCAAGCAACAGGCATGCAACATCAAGGTGCTCAAAAGAAGGAAGTCATTGTCGCGGTGCGCCTGCTCTTGCCCCCTAGGAGCGAGGCCCTTGCGCCCCAATGGGGCCAAGGAGGCCCTCGGAACTGCGCCCGCCCGGGCGCAAAATCGCGCGCCGCCCCCGCGCGCGGCCCGAGACCCCTGAGGGGGCCCGACCCACCCGCCAACAACGTGGCCCCGCAGGGCCAAGGGGCCAGCAAGTCAGCCCGCGCAGAGCCCACAAACAGAGCAGTCACGTTAGGGGTCGGTCCCCGCGAGAATGGTGCCAATGTCTCCGTGCATGCGGGAATCGCTTGCCGTTGGAAAAATCTGGGCTCGGACCTCCGTGCCCTCTGTCAGGGGCAGCTCGGGCGCGGCGCGGTGTTCCTGGGCGGTGGGGGCGGCGGGCCAAACCTGAGGAAGGGGGTCAAGGGGCGCGGGGAGGGGGGGGTGCGAGAGGCGCCCGCGCGCGCGGCGCTCAAGAGACTCGGCATGATTAACTGGCGGCACTTTTCACGAGTCTCCGCTTGGATCTGTCTGGCCAGCTCCCTCCACTGTGCCGCGATATTTGCGTCGCGTCTAGGGGCCGCCCACTGCCTGCCTCTGCATTTGGAAACCCTGTGCGCGTGGGTCCGCAAACGGTGGCTTCGGGCGTTCTCGTAAACAAATGGTGCAAAACCGCGCAATTCACAGAGCTCTCTAGCTGGCCCCCCAGTTTGCGCTACCGGCGCCAACGCGTGGCAGGCGCGCAGAGGGGGAAGCGGCCCCACGATCCTCGCAAATCTACTCGGCCTCTTTAGCCTCTTCGAGAAGGGGCCACTCAGTCCATGCCTCACAGGCCCGCTGTTTCTTCCGGCAAGCAAGGGCGAATTGGAAAAGGAGCAGACGCCCTTTGGGCTCCCGGCGCAATGGATTCGCTCAACTGTCGGTGTGGCCCGATTCATGCACCTACTGCTTGCAACTGGCCACTGGAGGTCAGCTTGCAAAACGATAAGCCATCCTGCGCCTGCCTGGCTCAAACAATCTAGCGCGGCGCGAAGACCAGCGGGGCCTTGCGAATAAGTCTCGCTAGATACCTGGGCCTTGCGGTCACCGCGACGGCGCGGATGTCAACCCTATTGGCTTTGCGCAGCGCCTATAGCAGACCGTTGCGCGCTGGCCAGGGCGTTCGAAAACGTCCTGACCGATATGGTGGACATCTCACGCCGCGCCCCCATCGCATGCAACGTGCTAGAGAGAGCGCAAGCCTCCCTGCACCCCTTCTCGTTGACCAGAGGGATGGTTTATCGCTTGGCAAGAGCTCTCTGGG